GGGGCCTGAACGCTGGGTAGACTAATAGGGGGGGGTTGCCTAATCCCAAGCCAACATTACCATTTTCTGCACATAGGGTAAGGCTAAGGAAGCATCGATGGCAGGGGACGCCCATAAAGAAGCGCATTCCAGAAGCGCATCTTCTCAATCCCCTCATACATGGCAATGGACGCTACTTTCCATCGAGTGCTAGGCAGGGTTGAAAGGAGAGACGTGGCCACCGGGCAACCCGCTGGCCCGTTTTCTTCTTTTTCGCAGCGATGCTGCGGATTTTCGCCATGTCTGGCCCGGTGGTGGCAGAGCTTCATGAGGATCAGTTGCCTCCAATCATGGAAAATGAGAAGCCTTTGAGAGCTTTGAAAGAGTTGCTGGCAGCTCAGCTTGGGATCTCCAGGTTTCAGCTGAGGCTTCTGGACGAAGAAAGGGAGGAGCTACATGAAGACGTGTCCGGACTGATCCCACCAGTGGATTTGTGGGTGTGGATTTTGGATTTTCAACCCCCTGATTCTGTCAGAGATACAGCATTCATCTCTGCCTGCGCAGAGAACTCTTTGACGAAGGTGGAACGAATGCTGCAAAGCCCCCAAGATCCCAATGCACGAGATCCAAGTGGCAACCTCTCAGCTATTCTTGCAGCAGCTGGCCATGGCCACTTAGAAGTGGTCCGAATGCTGCTTGAGGCTGGAGCTGACAAAGATTCTCCCACGCAGGGCGGCTACACCGCATTACATTTGGCGGCCAATGGTCGCTTAGACGTGGTGCGATTGCTCTTGGAGGCTGGCGCGGAGAAAGATGCTGCCACCCCAGATGGCAAGACTCCCTTGCATGTGGCAGCTCTGAACGGCCACGTGGAAGTGGTGCGATTGCTGCTAAAGGCAGGCGCGAACAAAGATGCTGCTACGCGCCTTGGTAAAACAGCTCTGCACATGGCCACTCTGAACAGCAAGGTGGAAGTGCTGCGAGTGCTGCTGCAGGCTGGCGCTGACAAAGATGCTGCCATGCGGAATGGCGAAACTGCTTTGCATATGGCAGCTATCGAGGGGGACATGGAAGTGGTACGCTTGCTGCTGAAGGCCGGTGCTGACAAAGATGCAACAATGCCGGATGGTGAGGGAGCACTGCACTCGGCAGCATTGAACGGCCACATGGAAGTGGCACGATTGCTTCTGGCTGCTGGTGCAGACAAAGATGCAGGATTGCGTCAGGCAGCTCTCAACGGCCATTTGGAAGTGGTGCGATTTCTGCTGGAGGCTGGCGCTGGCAAAAATGCTGCCACCCCAGATGGTAGAGCATCATTGCACGTGTCAGCCCTGAATGGCCATTTGGAAGTGGTGCGATTGCTGCTGGAGGCTGGCGCTGACAAAGATGCCATCACTCCAGATGGCGAAGCAGCATTGCATGTGGCAGCTCTGAATGGCCACTTGGAAGTGGTGCAAATGCTTTTGGAGGCTGGCGCTGACACAAATGCTGCCACACCGGATGGCAAAACTGCTTTGCACGCAGCAGCTGCGAACGGCCACTTGAAAGTGGTGAGACTGCTGTTGGAGGCTGGCGCTGACAAAGATGCTGCCACACGGCTGGGCAAAACAGCTTTGCATTTGGCAGCTGAGAGCGGCCACTTGGAAGTGGTGCCGTTCTTGTTGGTGACCGGCGCTGACGTCCCCACAGATCAAAGAGCATAGTTTTCGTTTGGCTGTTTCACCCGGCTGCAGAAGTTGCCAATTTCAAGAATTGGCGACCAAGAGCGATCAGGTGATCATTTGACGGCGTAGAAATGGTTGAGAAGTTGTTCCAACGTACTAATCAATATACACCATACGAGCATAGGTTGGGATGCTTGTAGCTAATTTGCATTTGATTTATCAAAGTTGACATGTGTTTCTGTGTTTCCGAGCGAGCATATTCCAAGACACACTTCCCCCTTCCAAAAAAATGGGGAAACCATTTGTTGCTTCTCTTGCTTCAGCGCCTATCCACACACCGGCACTGTGGCGTGTCGCTTGGAGGATCATGGGCATATCTTCTTCTCACGCTCGGGTCCGCACAAGGGGCAGCCATTCCCCATGGCGCTGGCCAAGGAGTCCATGATGCCCGAAACATGATGCATCGTGGGAGTTGTTTACCATGAGAATGAACCACGTAGATGATTGTTTGACTAATTACTGTCAGTAGTGGTTTTCCCTTTTTGTTATTTCTCTCGTCCAGGCTGGTAGTGTGGTGTACCAATCGTACGAATTACGGTGCTATCAAGCACTCCAAGTCGTGTTACTCATGAAAGCCTGGCCGTGCCTCCTGTCCAGTGGTTGCAACAACGACCTTTTTGCAAAGACGGGCGCTTTCAGGCTAGAGGTTTAACAGTTTAACGAGAAAAAACTGGACTTGAAGCAATGAAATTATATAGTGACTAGACAGCCACGACTCATTGGATATATATATATACCGCTGAATCTGGGACCAACTGAACCACAGATCGCCGCAAGGCAAATAAGAAACAACGCTCTGACTGCTAGAGGTTTGTGATGTTTTTGTTGCTTCATGACGATGACCCATCTTCAACAATTACGAGATGTCATGAAACATGATGAAACATGACTCCAGATGCTCCAGATGTTATTCGTCAGAACAAAAGAAAACACCACATTGCTCACTACCCAAAGTTCAAGAGCTCGAAGTCAGGAGCTGGAGGCGCGTGGCGAGGGCATTCTGGTGGAGCTCCCGCGGCGAGCCTTGTGCCCGGCGTTGGGGCGCGAAGAGGGGAGTTCTTCACTCTACGTGGAAGAGCGTACTAGTAGCTGGTACTAGTAGCGATTTCCTCCAACCTACTTGCGATGGCCTCCGCCTAATAGCATCTTGGAATCAAGAGAATGCAGAGTTCAAGTCCGAAAATTGGCCAAGTCCGAAAAAAATGATGATGATGATGATGATGATGATGATGGTCATGATGATGATGACCACTCAGAAGTCCACTCGGACTATTCTGGAGATCACCACCTACAGTGAGCACATGTGAACACTATCATGAAAAACACCATGCCACAATCACCCACTTTCACCCAACCTGGAAAACCTGTCAGGAGTCCTGTCAGGTACATGTTTTTCGGCTTCGCCCGGTACCACCTGCGCCACGGCGTCCCTTGGAGCCATCCGACGGGTCCCTACCGCCGCGTCACCGTGACGCTGCGCAGCGTGCCGCTGCCGACGGCGAAGCGCGGAGCACGCCGTGCTGCCGAAGCAGCGACGCACGAACCGGACGCGGCGAAGCGGAAGCAACGGAAGTTGATGGACGTGTTGCTTGGCGGTCTGCCAGAGTGTTGCTGTTTGAAGGGTGTGGAAGAAGGGGAGCTTTTTTTGTATGAAATCAGGTGAAGGACTCCAAAGCGATCCAAAAACCTCAAACGAGTGTAATTTCTTTGCCAATCACCCAGCCTATAAGATTACAATGAAAATAATGAAACACAATAAGATCCATAAGCTTACAATGAATCACAAAAAGATCTTCCACAAGCAGTCCAGGCACCTTTTGGATGAAGTTCGAGCTTGGAGCTCTTTGAGTGGATGTTTGAACCAGAGTTGTTCAGTGCCAAAACAATCCGCTAGTTCCGGGACCAGCTTCATTGTCCATACTTCTGGCTGTGTGTGTACCACTCAGGTTAAGCTCATTTGAGCATCCACGCCCAGGAAGGCGGCTTTTTGCGAAGACCTCCATGGCTGCAAGTGGCTTGGTGCGGGACCAGAAGCGATCCCTTTCACTGCCCTGCAGGAGTGTCAGATCTGTTCAGATGGCACTAGTCCTGTCCGAACTCCAAAACCGCCGCATCGACTTCTCCTCAGAGCTCATCGATGGTCATCGCAGAAGCCTCTAGAGGGAATTGAAAGGAACCTGGTTGGAGCTATAGGGCGTGCCTCAGACCGATATAGAGCATAACAATTATAGGCCATCTATGTGGCCCTATTGATGCCTATATCGCCCTAATATCGGCATAGAACTATGAACCTACTGTAGCTCAGGCCATGAACACCTTCTCACGGCCTGAAAAGGTGCTTTTGCTCCACAAATCACGAATTTGGGGCCTTTGCTTGGGACCTGTGGGGACCTTCTCCTCATCCCGTCACCGGGACCTGTGTCCGGAGCTTCGCTCGTGGAACCGGCGCGGTTCGAACGGACCGCTGCGGCGAGGTGCAGCGATCGACCTGTGCAGCGATGAAGAGGAGGGCGCCAAAAGAAAGCGGATGGGGATGGTAGATGGTTCCACAAAAACTATGCCCTAGGATACCCTAGGTGTTTTAATTATGGGTTGATCAATCCTTATAACTATACTAGTATATACATACAGTACCCAGACACTCCATGTATGGAATATATGCCTACATTGACCCTCCAAACCACCCCAATGTGGGCATATATGGTAGACATGGAGTGTGTGGGGTATAGTATATTATATGTTTGTTCTTCATAGATTCATAGCTTTGTCAGTTTCCTTTGCGGCAGACAACTGTCGACCATGAATGTTCAAGAAGAGCACAAATGGTGAACTGGAGGGGCAGTGAACTAGAGCACTTGTTCGAGGATTGGTCTGTAAACATCTGGAGGATTTTGTTCCAGTCAGAGTCATACCATTAGATGAAGAGGAAAGGGCCAATCAGAGAGCAATCACCACTACAAACACAGAGACACTGATAGACCATAGAACATTTGCCCTGGCAGTACGCACACATACAGTACCTTTGGAGAAGGTGCCTTGAATTCTTTGGTGCCCGGAGGGTCAGCCCAGCTACCTTCATATGCAGTTTGATGCAGTTGACGAAGATCTACAAACAACTGAAGTTCGACATGTTTCGACCAAAAGTACAGCTGGACAAGTAATGTGAATTAAGTTCGACGCTCCAAAAACAAGGACTCGCCCAAAAAACAAAAAAAAACAACAAAAGGCGGATGTCCGACTCACATGAATCATCACATATCATCATGGAAGTTTAATCTTCCTTTGAAAAGCACCGAGGCCTGAAGAAGTACTTGGATGAAAAGGAGATCTTCCGCATGGATCACTACCTTGCCAAGACTCTGGCGCGGTTCCGGTCTCGCGTCGAGGAGAGCGAGACCGGATCTGGGGCCTCCCCGCGCGCAACTGACAGATGTCCCATACCCCCTATGTACCCTCCTTCCCCTGGCCGGAGCGAGTAAAAGACGGCTTGTCCCATATCCGGTGTTGGACATCATGTCCGTTCCATACACGACCTCCTTGCGATTCGGAGAGTATGTGACATACACGACCTCCAAAAACGACCTCCAAAAAGAGACAATACAAAACATCCATGGGAATTGCACCAGTGAAGCAGGTGACGCTTGAGCATCTTAAGCTGTCTCATATTGTGACACGGCCGGGGGCATAGTCTGGGAGTTCGAGCTAAGCGAGTTTGGTTTGGTGGGACGTTTTTTCCAAAGAATATGTGGCCACAAGGCCATGGCTTATCGGGGGGCCGCTCAGTGAGCCCTGGAGATGGAAGGGGATGTGGTGTCCATGTCAGACACGGCAGAAGGCTGGCGCTAGTTTGGCGCCCTAGGATGCCCTGATCAAATGGGTGATAATTGGTGTATTGTTGTATATTAGCTAAGTTAGCTATATATATATATATAGTTTTTATATGAGTTTGCATGGGTCGGAGCTGACGCTGTACGACCGCTCGCTAAAAGGCGCAAACTCCTTGAGCCGTCCTGGCTGGGAACAGTGGGGGAAAGACCGTGAGCTGCATGGCAATTAGGAAGGTGGCACTTGTGCCAAAGGTCCAGGCATGTTTATGGAGCGATCGTTGGGAATAGGATGGAACAGCAATCCAAGTATTAAGCACAAATGGGATGCAAAAGCTGCAAATGTGTGGGAACACGCGGGAATAGGGATTACTGGATTACCGGTAACGATTTGGTGGGCTTGGGTGTGTTCCTGTTGCTGAAGGGTCCGTTAGTCCTTGGATCGGAACATGTATATATATAAGTAGAAGTGCCGTATTTGCCTTCGTGCAGAGTGTGGCCACTGCCTTAAAACCGTGCCTATATAGTAGATCAGCGGTAATTCTGGACCTTACGAGCTTCCGTTGCAGCACTTAGGGATTGATGAACTTTAATCGAATGGACGCGATGATAACGGCGTAAACAAACTTTGCGGATCTAATGAACAAGGGTCCAATTAGCAAACCTGTAAGGTGGCTAGGGGCCGGTGTTGAGAACATACATTCTAACAAAGTTTGTGGGTCTATTGGAAGTCAGAGTACAGGTCCACAGTGGCTTTTCAGGGTGTGCGATGGTCGTTTGGATCGACCCTTAGCTGAGTGCCTGGAGTCACTGGAGTCCTTTTCGATCATTGTGTTCGCCAGACGGAGGTGAGGTTGCCACGACTTTGTAGTTGGAAGGATAGGGGGTCCGAGGTCTTGTGAAATTGAATCACCCCGCAGCCAGGCCCGAACATCATGATCGATCGCAAAGTCACCATGAAGCCGTCAGTAGTAAATATACAGAATGACGTGACGCGCTGAAGTAATTAGTAATTATAGGTGGTGGGATGGCTTCTCCGCAATTGCTGGAGTTGGAGTACAACACATGTGTCAGGATCGCGAGCCGGCAACACGATATGGTGGAGCTGGTATTGATGGATAAAGTGGAAATAGCATGAGGATGATATCCTCGAATAATATGACTAAATGCGGCACAACATAAACGCAGTTCCTTAGTCGAGACAGGAGATTCAGCCTATAGGGCCTAGGGCAAGACCATCCTTCACCGGAAGGAGAACAATGAACAATGGTGAGGTACTCCGGTAAAATTCCGGCAGGACCAAGCAGCCTGCCTGTGTGGGAAGAAGCGGTTGCAACCAGGGAAAGTGCCAAAGTGGAATGGAACACATATAGTCGTCGGATCGTGGCGAGGACAATGGTAATGACATAGAGTATACTGGAGAGTGGGATGAATGTATTTGCATAGCCAACCAAGAGGAGGCGCGCTTGTGGTAGTTTTTGCCCCAACAGTCATGGTCCATGGTAGAAATTTGACTTAAGTGAATCATTATAGGCAGAAAACTTGTCCCCAGTCCCCAGCCATGCAACACTTATTCCGACATAGTATGCCTTATTACATCTAATTACTATGCAGTGTCGGGTTTTGACCCCACAGCCATCTCCACCGTGTCTCATGTCACTCTCAGCATTGCACTCGGAGAGGTTCTGAATTTGCTCACTCTCCGCTTTGCCAATCGGGACTGCCGGCTGCATGGGGAGAGACGCCACAGGAAAATGACTGGCGAATGGAAGATGAGTCTTGCTTGGTTTCCTTTGGTTTGTTCAATGAATGACGTTCATTGATTGAGGTTAGATTTGGTTTCTTTGGATCTGTAGAAGTGTTGTGATACTTTGCAATGGCTTCGGTGATGTAGTGTGAACATGTTTGAAGCAACACGGCTTTTGAAGCATCTCCTGGTTTCCTCTTGTTCTGTGCTCTCACAAAAGAAGAACAGGTCGTTTTTCCTGCGCTGCCCATCTCACCAGGCCGGGCCGGGCCCTGGGGTTCAACAGAGGACCCAACGGATGATTTCGAATATGGTTGTGTTTCTCCAACCACCAGAGGCTTCGGGCCGGCCGCGTTGGGGGTTCGCCGGCCACCCCGGGGTTTTCGTTGCGTTTGATCCCCAGCTGTGGTTCGTGGTGGCTTCGGTGAGGAGCTGGGGCATCTCTTCCACTGCCACCATGTGGCCAATGACAGGGGCCTCGGAGTTTGGAGGGACCAGAGATCCAAAACACCAGCTGGGACTGCCGGGAAGCCTTCAGTTGGATGGATTTATCCTTGATTCTCCAAGATCATGCCAGATTACTGATTGGAGGGTCCAAGAATTCTTGGAATCAATCTGCAGTAGATGCACAAAACGTCCCAGCCTTGTTGGGAGGAGAGAAGGCCCTGCAGTTGGTAAAACCCCGAGAGAAAAGCTTTGCAGGGAAGTTCTCTAACCGTCAATGGGGGGCCATTCGCTTTGCAAGAAGCGTACCAAAGCAATGGGAACGATAGTGGGAACGATGCACATACCGCCTGGATTGCTGGAACCAGAAGGTCCAGAAAGCAACATGTTTTCAAGCTCTATTGTTGTGTTTATTTTTTACAAGTGCCATCATTGTTCAACGTGGTTGACACGCCCTGATCCATGTTTCTCTCGTCTCGCGATTGACCCGACCGATAAGGGCAACTCATACCCCCCAACGTACCTATGTGGACCCTCAATATCAATCCTCAAACAATCTCCAACATCTTAAACTTTCGGTTGGATTCAGTCCCTTTGCCTATATGATGAATCTTCACATATGATTTTCACACTCCCCCAAATGTACGTCCACCATCCGGTAAAAAAATAAACTCAGACTCGTGGTTTTTCTCGGGCACCGAATGGAGAAAAACAACAAACCCACCGGCGCCCTGCAACCCGTGATCGGAGCGCCTAGGTCCGGATCACCTTTAAGGAAGCCATCGGTGTGGAGGGCCGTGCCTCGGATGCGTTGGGATTGAGGGCCGTGCATGACGCCATGGTGGGAAGGGAGATCCGATGTCTTCCTGAAAAAAATATGCCCCAAAACAAACTGTATATAACTGTTATATTATATATATTAATATATATATATATTGAATTGCGAATGGAAGTGCAGCGACACGTACAGTGCAACTTGTACATATA